CTTTAACGTTCATTTTCAAAATAGATTAAAATTCGTTTGTCATGTCTACTAAATTTTTACGGTCTCTAGAGGAGCGATATTTCATATTGGCTTCCACCTAAAGTTAAAAATTAAAAATACACATGATTAAAATAGGCTCGTATAATAATACGAATAGCCAAAAACTCATGAGTTTCATAACTATACATTTTCAAATACAATAATGCAAAATGATGAAAAATATCGCAGACGCACTTTTCTGCATGTTATAATGTTATAAATATATTATGTGTAGGAAGGTTACATAGAGTAGGTAACTTTATTTTTTGAAAATTTGATAATAACATATAACATTTCACAATTAAGATGAAAAATAAAAAACTGATAATGAATAGAATTTCGGATGGGGRTTGTGTAAAAGTAGACATTTCCTTGCTGAAAAATATCAGACCGCAGCTCGCGGCGGGGAGAATATTTTCTGCAAATYGCTGTCTCGCGAGTCATCGACCCTCGTGTTACACGGATATCCTTCTCCTCATAACTCAATATATAATTGTGACGAATTTCAAACAATTTTTCCTTGACCCACAGGTCGCACTCAGTGTTGGATAGAAATGTCGCCTTGGCAATGGAAACTATACATAAGCATAGTGGCGACGACGGTGTTCGTCGTACCGGCAATAGTCATCAGCGGATGTTATGCCATTATCGTGTACACGATTTGGTCCAAAAGCAAACTCCTGTCACCGGCAAAAAACAACACACTTCAACGTGGCACCAAAAGTGAATTATTATACATTATTGATTATGATATAGTCGTATATGAATTAGCTATATAGACCAATATAGTAYTAATCTAACAGATATATGCACGACGCATATATTGTAACCGCTGTTTAGGGCACAAATAGGTAGGTAGATATGTCAAAAAAGAATTTTCAAGAGGGAAAGCTTTGCGGGAAAAGATTCTGAAACAACATTAATCATTATACTTATCCTATTTCTCCCTCCCCCACAAAAAAAAATGTTTTAATACCCTATTCTTTGATTTGTTTTTTTTTTTTTATACCTTTGTATTCTTATTTTTTTGTATGGACGACTGTGTTATCACACGAACATTGGATGATTCAAATACCTATACCTATATTATTCAAAATATTTATACTTCTAAAAATATAGATCTAATTGCGCCTAACGTGTATTATAGAGTCTCTGTAGGCTATATTCAAACTCGTAGACATTTTTCCAGAGGGATGGGCAATGCAAGGATTTGAGTCTGATCTAAAAATAAATTGATTAATCGAATGCAAATAATTTAGGATAATGTTTTTAATATGGTGACCTTAATTCATGAACGCACTTTAAATTTTTTTAACGTTGATTTATCTTAAAACGTTMGATTTGGAAAAAAAACCGAAAAGCCAGGGTTACAAATGTCCCAGCTTTCCCCATCCCGGAGCCTATGTGTACGGTAGTGTAAATGGTTAGTATACTACTAACTATAGAGTACACAGCGTATTTAATATTATTATAARCTCACAATACATATATGATATACAGATTGTATGGATGATATGACTATATGAGGTGACTAAACTAAATTTTTTGGTCAAATTTTATGTTTAAAAAAAATAAAAAAATATTTTTACCGATAGTTGACATATTGWATGGAAAATATAATATTTATACACAACTCTATTGTTACCTATTACAATATTTTATAGTAGTACATTTTTAGATTATTAGGTACATTGTTTTCATCTTACTATCGAAAGCCGAATACTTTTATTGTACGCTGAATTTCAATAAAATACATCAGCCTGACCATTATCAATACCTAACCTTCATAAAGTTAACCGGTAATAAACAACAAAACATGACGTTTAATAATTCATTTAACTTTAATAGAAAATATAGATGTTTAATATCAAATATTGAATAAACAGTTTTTAATATATTAACGTTTAATAAAAAAAACTTTTAGAAAATAATTGTGTAAAAGCATTTTTTTAATTAAATATAGACAGGACATTATTTAAAAAAAAAAAAAAAAAATTTGGGAAAAAATTTGGTAAAAAATGGTGATAATTCCGCTAAAAAATAGGTAAATCATAATATCAACGTTATAAGTGAAAAAAAAAACAAAACGACAACGATTGCAAAAGTTCAACACTGTTTGTATTTATAACAATATGAATAATATATTATATAATAATGTCGTTTTGGGACGTTAACCACCCGTTACAGAACCTGAAGAGCACGACATCAGAAGGTCCAGTTCACGGGGCATCATTCCGAAAGCGAAAATCAAGACCGTAAAAATGACATTCGTTATTGTGTTCGGTCAGTATACACACTGCTTACAAATACACCTATTATTATTCGTCTTGCACGCGTATAAATAAATACAATAGTCATTTTATTCGATCGAATAATATTATCGCACAATAAATATAATGGGTACCTAATACCTAACCAATCGATACGATACAAATAGGGTGCCACTCGGTGTTTGTCACAGTACGTGCGTGAATTTGGCTCTCCGACGTTATGTAATTGACTTCGGACCAAAGCCAATATTCTGTACAACTCATTCGTCACWATATTTGTAACACAGCACTTTTCAGAATTTGTAACTATATACTTTAAGCTCTATCAACATTTTTATGACGACTTCACGTAGYCGCCCGACAAATTAGCTCCACACACTATAGTCCCACAGACTGGTATAATTTTATTTTGTAGAAACGGATATTGGTGGAAAAGGGAAAGGTACACTTTTGGTGGAAAAGGGCATCGCCCCCATCCAGATACCATAAGTCCTAACCTAACCTAAYCATGATGATCTAAAAAGGTTAGGTAATTAAAAAATTAAAATCAATCTTATATATAGTTGGGTGCGTTACGATTGCGTATGATACGATTCCGTATGGACCTTTTTCATTATTACGATTGCGTACATTCTACCTACCAATACTTCATGCAACGTTGCCGTTGTTCAAAATCGTGAAAATTTGTAATATAACTTATTTTAGGA